TCATTTGTGAATGGATTGGTTTACTTAAGAACATCACCTTACTATGGAGGAAAGAATGAAAAAAAAATTGCTTTTGAGACAGTTTCCCAACTTTTTGTTTCTTTTCAAGTAAGAGGATGGAAGAATCCCTTCTTTGATAACATTAAAACTGTTTTCTAGGATCATGGTATAATGAGACATTTAAAAAACTGAAAGTCTTGTAGTATTAAGAAGTTGTTGTACATTTATGATTTAATAAAGACTTCTAAAGGAAAAACAACAACAAAAAAAATAGAAGTGTTGTGGTACCAGCTGGGCCAGAGCTCTGAGGGTCCTACAAGTGTTAACTGTGGTGATCCCAGCTGAGCCCTGCGAGGTTCGTGGAAGTGACTCGAACAAGGTCCTAGTCCTCACAGAGTTTTTAGTGGTGCAGGGCAGACAGGGCAATGCAAAAGTAATGTCACTATAAGGGAAACATGGGAGAAGGGTGGATGATCAAGTTCTGGGAAATCAACACTTGGGAGAAAAAGAGAAAATTGAAGGGATACCTCTTTAAGCCTATTTAAAGTGGGTAAAATGAAAAGAAATTGTAAGGGGAAAAATATGTTACAGTTCTCTTAAATCTACTATTTCATTGAGGTGGTAGAAAAAGGTATAATGAAAGGGGAACATTTCTTTTTTAATATCTATAGGGCTATATCCTATAAATAATGAGAAGGGGAATCTGTTAACTGGAAGACAGAAAACTTCTAAGGAAATAGGACTAAGCAGTATTTCTTGTGTGACTTCTCTCAGATTACTGCTTCTTTTGTGAAGATCCAGGTCTCCAGACCCCATTCCATACCTAAAACATCAGAACCTGAGATGTGGCCTGGCACTGTGCTGTAACAAGCTGCTCAGGTGATTTTTATGAAGTGTAATATTTAAGTATATTTAACCTCTGATTGGGGTGAATAAACATACACAAAGAGCACCTGTTTATCAAATACTCAAATCAGATCCTGTGGGCTTTATAAGTTAATATTAATTTCATGGTTTCAGTATTTCTACTATGGTTATGTAACATATCTGCTTGCTACAAGGAGTATTTTAAATACTCCTTGTGGCAAAATAAAATAGTGTATTTTCAACTCTCAAAGTTTATTTCAGAATGTTGTACTTCAAGTAGTCTGACTTTATCTGCTTGAGAATGATTTTTGGTTTTAGAAAAAATATATGCTGGAATAGGAACAATCTCATGCTTGCTCTCCTGCAAATGTATTTCCAACATTCTCCCTGCAGTCTCTCTCTCCCCCACCACTGTCCACCTCAGATACCACAGACTGACCAATCTTTCTGAAGCACAGTTTTGGTAAGATTACTCCTTTGGTGAAAAAAAACAAAAAACAAAAAACCACAAATGGCTCCCCACTGCCTATGGGATAAAACTCCTTAGCCTGGCTTCCAGGCCTTTCACACTATATGGCCCACCTACCAGCTAATCTTTCTCTCACAGTTTTCTAAACACACACCCAAATGCCAGCGAATCTGGACTACTCACCATCCTCACCTGTCACTTTATGTCTCCAAAACTTTAGCTCACACCAAACTTCCTCACCTCAACTCATCAGAATTTTATCATCCTTCTAGATCTCTAGACATCTAAGTGCTGGTCATCGAGTTGTAAGTGGTTCATCCAAACTCTACAGCACTTTTTTCTGTGCTATGCCCCTGGTCTTAATACATGATACCTGGTATTGTACTTATTGCTTATTTGTCTACGAGACTTAAAGTTACTGGAGAGCAGTCCCATAACCAGAGAAGAAAATGGCAACCCACTCCAGTACTACTGCTTGGAAAATCCCATGGATGGAGGAGCCTGGTAGGCTGAAGTCCATGGGGTCGCAAAGAGTCAGACACAACTAAGCAACTTCACTCACTCACTCACTCATTCATTCCCACAACACATTCCACTCTGTATCGCCCATTAAAATAAATATGGTAAAACAACTTCCAGAAGGCATATGTAAGAGTGCTGCTCAATAGAACTTTCTGCCATGAGGGAAATTTTATATACCTGCATCATCCGTTAGGGTAGTCACTGGCCACAATAGTGGCTCTTGACCACTTAAAATGTGGCTATGGTGACCAAGGACTAAATTTTCAATTTTATTTTATTTCAACTGATCAAAACTTACATTTAAGTAGCAGATGTGGCTAATGAATAGACTATGGGACAGCACAGACAGAGAACATATTTAATGAAGGAGGATGAACTGCACTTAGAAAACTTTAAAACTTGCTACTCTGCCCTCAAGGTTCACCTGATCTGGTTCTCCCTTAGCATCCTTAGCTCAGCTCCCACCATTTCCCCCCTTACTCCATCTAGCCATGCCTGGCTAGTCTCCTTTTCTTAAGTAGGCCTTGCTCACTCTGGTCTCCAGGCTCTTGCTCTTGCCCTGTGGTCTGCTTGGAGTGCCTTCCTTTCCGATCTCATTCAGCTGGGTAGTCATTTAGGTCTCAGCTCAAATGTCACTTCCTTAGAGAGAATGTCCCTGATGTGCCATCTAAAATAGACCTCTCTTTCTGTTACCCCACCTCCTTATATTTTCTTTACAACCCTTTCAGTATCTAGAATTTATTTTATTACTTCTTTACTGTCTAACTCTTCCGAATAAAAGATGAGCTTCTTGAGTAAGGAAGCACTCAAATACCAGTGTGTAATAAAATCAGTGAGTGAAAGCATGATGAGAAGGAAGATATTTGCACAGTTTCAAACTGTCTCCCAACAAGATACTAATTAACTATAAAGGAGAAAAGGCTATTTTTATTACAGAGAAGAAACATATCAGACACCACCTTTACCAAGCATTAACCTGACAAGTGTAATCCAGGGTTAACAGCAGCAGTGACAAAACATTTGACATCATAAACCTCCTTGGTGTGATGCACTGAGGATATATCACTTCTGTGGTATTGTCCCAATAATGAAGAATCTCAGTTTAAGTATGAGACATTAGACAATCTCAAATTGAGTGACACTTCACAGAATATCTGGCCAGTTCTATTCAAAAGCATCAAGGTCATGACTGAAGGATTGTGAGACTGGAGAAAATAAGAAATGATGTTTAAACATGATACAAGAATCTATATTGTTTTCTGGATCAGAAAAAGGAGTATAAACAATTGGGGGAAAACCCCCCAATAATATTGGTAGTATTGCTAATAGAAATGTATTAATGTTGATTTCCTGGTTTCAATATTTACACTATCTTTATATAAGATGTTGGTGGAATGGGAAGTTAGGTGAAGGGTATATAGGAACACTGTACTACTATACTATTTTTACAACTTTTATGTTGTCTAGAATTATCTCAAAATAAAACTTTTTTTAAAAAAATATAAGCTTTTGAGAGGAGGGACTTATCTGTCTTGTTTTAGAACAGTACCTTTTACATAGCAGGTATTAGCTAATCATTTGTGAATAGAAGGAAGGTGAGAAAGAAGAAAGAAGGGTGGAATTGAGGAAAGGAAGAAATGGTGAAGGGAAAGAGGGAGGCAAGGGAGGGAGAAGAGTTGGAGGAAGTGTGGGGAGAAGGGAGTGCATGGCTTTGGGAAGACTTAAGGTGTCTCTTGAAGAAGATGTGAACATAACAGCTCTGTTAAGGCCCTCAAGGAAGAGGCTCACCCACAGCATCTGTCGTATATATGCCCTAGGTACACAGAGGCTTGGGGATATCCCCCAAGCAGGGGCTGTGGCTATTTATCTTTGTGCTTCTGGGACCTAGCGCCTATACTACATTCTAGGTGTTCATACAAATTTACTAAATTTGATTTAATTAAAATAGTTAATGACTTGGATTAGATGCAATGGTTGGATTAACATATGTGATGCTTTCCCAAGAGAATTCTCCAGCTTTTGGTGGGCAGGTTAATAACTTTGGCTACTGAATGGAACTAGCACGGTCTGAGGCTTGGGTCCTGAGGGCTTGGGTAAGTGAGTTTCTATAGATTATTGAAAACTGTAGCAAAATCAACTCAGTGAAAGAGCCTATCCTGGGGTGGCCTACAGAACTGAATTTATTTTCAAATGCAGGATGTATAAAACTATGCGCTGCACCGTTTTCCAAATTTAAGGACATAAGAAGGGCTCAAAATCTGAGGTGTCTTTCCAGTAGAAGGGATGAAATTTCACTGAAGACCATTATTTTAATTCTCTGTATAAATGACTACCAATGTGCCTAGCATCTAGTTATATACTTCCTTAGTTCACAATAAAAACCCTTTGAAATTAAGTTAATATCTCTGCTTCACAGATAAGGAAAATCAAGCTGAGAGAGTGAGATGTGAAAGTTAAATGTGTTCCAGTCATGTCCAACTATTTGTGACCCCACAGACTATACAATCCATGGAATTCTTTAGGCCAGAATACTGGAGTAGGTAGCCTTTCCCTTCTTCAGGGGATCTTCCCAACCCAGGGATTGAACCAGGGTCTCCTTCATTGAAGGCAGATTCTTTACCAGCTGAACTATCAGTGAAGCTTGATCAGTCCTAATTTACATAGCACTAAAGTCTTGACGTCATAAACTTAAGCCCAGCTCCCTCTCATCCAAAGCTCTTGAAACGGGTCCTAGACATCATCTACTCTGACTCTACACTGCCCTGCCCCATATTCTATGCTGCTAATGATAGGCATTAGCAGGTGAGATAGACTAGACTATAAGAGAAAGGGTCCCCCTTGCCACTGTCTTTCACAAGATGTTGAAGCAGGAAGCCAGTGGAACACAGTCCAGAAGCCCAGAGAAACTGCCAGCAAACTGGAGGCCTTTCTAGCCTCTCATATTGTTAGCAGTGGGATCTCAGACAAGGGCATTTGCCCTGTCCAAGCTTTGGCTATGCCTTCTGTCAGATGACGAAGATATGGAAGCCTCTCCTACCCTAGGAAAGCTGCAAGGCGGGGACCTCGTGTCTGGTCTGCAGTTGAAGACTCCCATCATCCTGTATGCCAAGCACAGACACAGAAGTTGTTCAAGTGGCTGAAATGCTGTGCCACGCTAATTACACCTACCTCAGAATATGCTATCTTTTTCTTTCCCCACTGCTTCTATTTCATAGTCTTTGTCTCTCTCACTCTGAATTTTCAAATAAGAACTGTGCATTAGCTCCACGATCAGAACGATTGAATTGGCTGCAGAAAGAAACATGCATGATGTCCTCAGCAGGAACCTTGTTTGGAACAAGGTCAAAAACCACTTGACTGACCAAGAGAGGTAAGAGAAATGAAAATTCAAAAGCCTCTATTTATAACTATGGAAACTGAAATTCCGAGTTGTGTTCTGGACCTGGCAATTACATCAGGAAACAGTCTGTCCATCCTTGGATGGCTACTGGAAATAAAAACAGACTCAACCAAGCTCTTCTTTTAAGTGGGACTCTGTCCTCTATGATTTTCCTAAGGGCCCTCAGTTCTTAGCATGGTACCTGTGTAAGGAATATAGCAAAAAGTTTGATGCCTAAGATCTCTAGACTAGAACTGAGCCCCTTTTGCTTACTAACAGCCTGATGTTGAATAAGACACCCCAGATTTTTGACCTTCAGCTTCCTCACCTATACAATGGTAATGCCACTTCATGTCCATTAGGATGGCTATGATCACACAACAATAACAGAAAATAACATGTGTTGGTGAGAATACAGAGAAATTGGAATCCTCATGTCTTGTTGGTAGGAATATAAAATAAAGTAGCCACTGTGGAAACAGTTTGGCAGTTCCTCAAAAAGTTAAATATGGAATTACCATATTACCTGGCAATTCCACTCCTAAATAAAAACCTAAGAGAATTGAAAGCAGGGACTCAAACAGATACTTGTACACCAATGTTCATAGAAACATTTTGACAATAATTTAGAAGTGGAAACAACCCAAGTGCCTTTCAACAGATGAATGGGTAAACAAAACGTGGTATGTACATACAGTGAAATATTTTCAACCTTAAAAAGGAAATTCTGACATACACTACAACATACATGAACACTGAAGATATTATACTAAGTAAAATAAGTCAGACACAAAAGAACAAAGGCTGTCCCCCATTCACATGGGGTACCTAGAATAGTCAAATGTATAGGGACAGAAAATAGAATGGTAGTTTCGAGGGGTTGGGAAGAGAAGGGGATGGGGAGTTTGTGTTTAATGGGTACAGTGTTTCAGTTTGGGAAGATGAAAAAAGTTCTGGAGATGAATGGTAGTGATGGTTGTACAGCAATGTGAATGCCACTGAACTTCACACTTAAAATGGTTAATTTTATGTATAGTTTACCATAGAAAAAAATGGGAATATTACCACTAACTTTCTGAGTTATTTTAAATATTAAAATAGATATCATATTCAAAATATCTAGAATAATGCCTGTCACATTGTAGTTGTTCCACACACAGGGATTTCCTTCTCTACAAGCATATTTAATTTACAAGGAGCCTCTCTTTGCGTTCTTAGAATATCATAACTGAAAAGTGGCCACACAATGGAGATGGCATAGAATAACATTTCTGCACAAAGATGATCACACTCAAAGAAGGAAGACATTAATTATAGGTCATTCTGGAGACCTTGCTTCCTTCCATTTTATGCCTTAAGAATAATTTATTCCTTACAGCAAACCAAATGCAGGAAGATGCACCAGAGGGACCATTGCAAATCTCTTTCGAGTTTAAACCAGGAAGGGAGAAATGCCTTTCTGGGTTTCAAAAGTGAAGGAAAGCATCTTTACCTACCTAGTTCAGCAGGCCAACAAACAGCACCAGCTTGATTCGGATGTGGGAACCAGAATCTCACCCACCCTGCTAAACGGTGTTTCTGGGTGGGGAGTCACCATACCTGCCCATTTATGCTCGGGTGACCTTCAGAAACAGGATGAAGAAGTATATTGGAGGCCAGTTCCTGCTGGAGGCAGAAGTGGTGAGGGGCTCTGCACCTGGCCTAACCTGGACCTCTAAAGGACGATGCCAAAGAGTACTTTTCCAAGGCTCCTTCCAGAACCAACTTTTGTTGCATCTGTGGCCTCCATGTTGGAGAACAGGTTGCAGCCTGTGGGTTTCATGGAGAACTCTTCCAACAGGCCAGGCCAGGCTGGGACTATCCCTCTTTTTCTCAGGTGGTGCCTTTGAACACTGTGAATCAGGGTGCTTAGGCTCAAATCACTTCCTCAAACCTATCACCCTACAGAGGATACTAAAAGTAAAAAATAACGGTGGTGTATCAAGGGCTCACTATGTACTGGTGACTGTCCGAGGTGCTTTATATTCGTTATACAATTCAATCCCCATAAGAGCCCTGTGTTGTCAGTATTATTATTCTCATCCTATGAGTGCAGAAATGGAAGTTGAGAGAAGTTAGGTGACTCGTTCAAGGTAAAGAAAAGATCCTCCTTATTTCCTTCCACTTCTCCTCCTGCTCCTTCCTAACTTTTTGGCACCTTGAAGGTACCATTATCATGTTATTAATAGAAAGTTTAGGAAGTTCTCAGATGCCATGCTTACAAATATCCTTTGTGCAAGCTCTAGAGGTATGCTAAGCTTGTAGGAAAAAGGCTCAAAGAATAACAAATGAACATTTGGAACTTGCTTTTTTAAACCAATAACCATGGTCACCATGTGACCCCCACAGTATTTTTACAAGGTGTGTATAAATGTGCATATTATATATGTATATATATATATGTATTATGTGTATATATATTATATATGTGTGTATATATATGTATATATCTATATATAGATACACATTTAAATATATATGTATATATGTGTATACATGTCTGCATATATATGTGTGTGCATGTGTATATACACACACATATAAACAAATATTTTTCAGGTCCAGTTATGCAACTTGGGACATATACCCTAAAACAATCACCTATAACTTGATTAATTTGTTTTAAAATCAATGGAAAGGATCTGCTCAATCATACCCAGATATTTAGCTTCAGACACGGTATGCTGTTATGTTATGTGAACCTTTTAAGCATTTCTGTCAAAGATTTTGTAATAATTTATCACCTGTCTTTCTCAACACTCTGGGATAAGGAGACAGCACTAATCATTATGGTTTGACTTTGTTTCAGGCTGTTTTTCTTTTGAGGGACTCAAAAGATACTACATAAGTCTTGCAATACCTTCAAAACAATCCTGAGGCTCAAGATTTCTTATTGACTTACGGAAGGCATTGGAAACTTCCTATTGTTCCCTGTGGATTGAATTAGGAGACTTCAATGGTGTCTACCGCTAGCAGGCTTGGGCAATAGTGACTTCATTTCACAGACAGTGACTAAGCAACTGAACCATGGCTGAGGTTTTCATTAAGATCTAGGTCTCCTGGTGCTGAAGAAAATTGTCAATAATAATAAAAGTTGCCAACATTATTGAGTGCTTACACTGTGTTTGGGGTTTAAGAGATGGTATGGTTGTTATTCAGCAGTCGGCTCCTTTGTTTGGTGTTCCCCTCTCTTGGGCTTCAAAAGACCCACGGCATGAGCACATCTACTCAAGAAAACCTGGTTCTGTCTCACTGTTGTACCTAGTCATGTGGGCCCATGAGTCTCCATTTTAAGGGGCATAAGGATTACTTGGGAAATGGATTAAAAATACAGGTTTCTGGGACCCATCTAAAGTTTGAGTAGGTCTGAAGTTGTATATTTACTTAATCTTTCTGATGCCTTCTAATATAGGCATCAGGGGAATATACTTTGATAATCACTGATTCAGGACTTGCTAAGACATTCTTATTCTTTACTGAAATTTTGCCCTTCGTTCACTTCTCAAACATTCACCAAGAAGTTAACATAATGGAGAATCTCATTTGTATGGTGCTTTCACAGTTGGAAAATAATTTCCACATACACCCTCATTTGAAGCTCATAGTAGCCATCTAAACTCCATCATGTAGGTATGAGGGCACATGTGGCAGACACCAGTGAGTTCTCTTCTTCTCCTCTGCCAGCTTGATTAATTTGGACTTGATTAATTTATTTTAAAATCAAGCGGGAAAGGATTTGCTCAATCATCCAGATACTTAGCTTCAGACATGGTATATTGCTATGTTATATGGACCTTTTCAATATTTCTGTCAAGGATTCTGTAGTAATTTATCCTCTGCATTCATCGGTTGGGCTGGAGATCCCATGAAACCTGGAAATATGGGTCCTCTATCCTACCTGGGGAAAATTTTTTGAGAGGTCCAAACAAATTACTTTAGGAAACTTGTTGGCAAAGAATGGGCATGTTCTGGCTACTGAGCTATAAAAAGAACTGTATTGGGGAAAATCTCCCTTTTTGAACTAAAAGACAACTTCCTGAGGTGAATGCCTTCCTCTTCTTTTCTGAAACTCATAAATGAACAGCTATCTCATGACTATAATGCAACAAGCACAAGGATGAAAGCCAAAATGCTAAATATGATGGAGCAGAAAGATAAAAAGACCTCCAACAACATCACTTAAATTGTGAGAAAAAAAAAAAAAACAACCAAACACAGAAACTATATACATCTGAACTTGTTTTTAATTACAAAAAAGAAATCTCTGGGTTTTTTTTGGGGGGGCGGGGCAATCTAAATTAAATTTTCTCTGTCACCTTTAGCCAAAATCATCCCTAACTGATCCAGAGATGTTATAATTATTAAAATCCTATTTTCTATAAAATAGCCAAAGAGAAGGTTAAGTTACTTGTTTAAAATCTCTCAATAAATAAATAATGGGTCCTGGACTTGAAACTCAGATGGACTAACTCCAAATCCTAAACTGTCTACCCTGGAACCTCACAGTAAAATGAAGGGGTTCCAGTGACTACCACACAAGAGAAATGGAAGGAAGCCAGTAGGTGGGGGTCTGAGCTCCCTATCCCACGTCAACTGGAATAATTCTTACTAACCCATTTTATGAGTTAGACTTTCACATAAAACATAATTTAAAGAAAGTGCTCTGTTGATTAAAAATATAGTTTAAAATAAAATAGCATTATGCCATGCAGTTTTCCTCTGATACATAAGGCATTATAGATATAAAGAGTACAATACTTGATCTTTGTTTTTAGCACATTGTTAACCTAGTTGAGGAGATAAGACATACACACATACCATGTTGAGGAGCAATGCAAGAGTTAAACTAAAGCTGTTTAAAGAAAAGACTACTTTTGCTACAATATGTCTCCGAAAACAGTGTTATAAAGCAAATAATTATAAAATGATTCTTATTTTTCCCATAGGAATTATGTCATAAAAAGGGTTGTGCTCCTAACCAAAGACGTAGAATCCAATTAATTATAAATATAGCCAATAACAAGGCTCAAGAGCAAAATGTAACATCATTTGAAATAATAAAATGATGTTCCAACTCCTATAAAATGGGAATAAATATATTGAACACATTATAGCACATTTGGGCTTACTGTATAATCAAAGTACTCATATAATATAAACATAAAAATCTACACCATAAATATGACCTAAAACTAACATGCTGTCAACAATAAACCAAAAACATGCAATGAGTGATAACTGTATATGCTTCTTTGAGACTTTAGATGGAGTCTTACAGAATACTTTAAGTGCTCACTTCTCTTATAAGGGTGAAATATCCAAGGAAATTAGTACTTATGCATTCCATTATTTTGGATTGACTCCTGCAGCAAGCAGATGTATTCCAAAGATTCACTCGAAATACCATGGAAAATAATGACTGTTGTTCGGAGATCCACAATGGCAGGTTGTGGGATTTTTAATGCTGAGAAAATGTTTTAAATGTAAAAGTCTGCTATTACTTTGGTTTATTCAAAGCTCCTCACAAGACGTCCACTTCTGCCTATGTGGATTAACTGCTACAGGCATTGGCCTCCTGTCATAAACAAATAGAAAACCAGAAATCCATAGAAAGAGGTGGGTTTCAGGTACTGAACAGCAGATATCACAAGCTGTGGTACAGGATAGAAGGAAAGGAAATGAGATGAGCCTTATAATTTCCCCAGGTTATTGTCTGGAAGTCGCTTCTAGGTTGCATTTTACAGCAAACAAACCCAAACAGTGAGCTGACTTGAGACTGAGATGGGAGTTTGGGGGCGCCAAAGAAGCTATGGTTTTCAGGCAACACACCAGAGAGGAAGCTCCAGAGAAAGAGAGAGAGGAAGTGAGAGAACACGAACAGAAGAAATCCCTTTGGTTGAGTTTGAATTCACGCATGCATGTAAGAAAACAATTGCAGGACAAGAAAGGAACCAGGAAGAAAAGAGGCTAAACAATTCCTGGAGGCAAGACTGTGAACACAGTCTGTGTTCCAACCAGTCAGAGTGGACAGATCTAGTAATATCATTCAGTAAAGTACACAGAAGAATCACACTTTAGTAGTAACAGAGTTAAATTAACCTCAGAATGGGAAAGACTGATGGCAGGAGGAGAATGGGGTGATAAAGGATGAGATGGTTGGATGGCACCACTGACTCAATGGACATGAGTTTGAGCAAACTCAGGAAGACAGTGAAGGACAAGGAAGCCTACCGTGCTGCAGCTTATGGGGTTGCAAAGAGTCGGACACGACTTAGCAACTGAACAACAAGCCTCAGAATAAAGACTACTCTGAATCTGACAGAGCAAAACTTAAAGGAAATCCCTGAAAGGATCAAACTGATCTGCAAGTTACTTAACTGAAAGCCAGAATGAAATCCAGCACTCTTTAAGGGAATATAACAAATACTCACATCAAATATGTATAATAATATTCAAATATATGCTGATGTTCTAATGGTAAAATTTTATTTTAAAGTATTACTAAATTGATAAGACTTGTCATTATATTTTAATCAGTTAATGTTTATGACTAAAACATTTTGTAGAATATGGGAGCCATTAAAAGGGTTCCTCAATTTTGAAATGGTCAAGAACCATGGAACCACTGTGTTGGATGAAAGAACATAGCCTGAAGAGTTTGAGATTGTTTCTGAAAGGTAACAAGCAATCACTGATGGTTTATAAAGGGGGTGACACCTGACAGCAATGCTCTCACATCACATTTTAGATTAAATGACATGAGATAGAAAAAAGTCGAATAGTTTGTTCTGAAGCTCAGGGACTAAAACTAAATTGAATAATCATAAATCAATCACCTAGTTGTTAACTTGGCTGGCATACAGTTTTCTGGATCACTGAGTGACCAGACCACATGTTGTACATCTGATAATTTGAGTTATGTGATTAGATAAGCCATTTGTTGATAGGTTATTATGGTATCTTTAGTAGACATCTGTAATTTTGTGTGATGTATGCTCAGTGCTCTTTCTTTTTGGGAATTGCCACATCTTCACTTGATTTGATTCTGGTGGAGCTGTTAATAATCCAGCCCCTCCCTTTCTAAGCTGATAATACCCATTCCCTTCACATACAATAATTGATTCAGTTTGGGCTCATGACCCAAGAAGGATCAATAATCTTCCTTTCTTGGGAATAATATGAATGCTGTGTGAAGGAAAGGATGACTTCTTCTCTAAGATTCTGAGCACTGAGAACCATGTGTGACCAAAGCTTCTAGGGAGTCTTAGAGATAAGGGAAAGAAAGAAGAGGCAAGTAGAGTTGAGGAATGGAAACAGAGTTCTCTAACAATATTTAATCTATTGTTTAATTAATCAGCAAGCATATATTATTGTGTTTACTATGTACTTATTATGTGTTTAGCACTGTTCCTGGCCTTGAGGGGGTGACAGTGAACAAGACCTCTAAACACATTCTAGGAAATTCTTGAGCTACCTGACAGGGTAGAATCTGAAGCCTCAGTTCAGTTCAGTTCAGTCGCTCAGTCGTGTCCAACTCTTTGTGACCCCATGGACTGCAGCATGCAAGGCCATCACCAACTCCTGGAATTTACTCAAACTCATGGCCATTGAATCAGTGATGCCATCCAACCATCTCATCCTCTGTCTCCCCCTTCACCTCCCACCTTCAATCCTTCCAAGCATCAGGGTCTTTTTTAATCAGTCAGTTCTTTGCAGCAGATGGCCAAAGTATTGGAGTTTCAGCTTCAACTGAAGCCTAGTCTTAGTATTTTAGACTTTCCAGTTACACAAGCCAATTAATCTTCCTTTTTCACTTAAATTAGTTTACCTTTAATTTCTGCCGCTTGAAAGAGTTCAAACACACTCTTAATTCTGATTTTAAAAACTGAGAGGATCATTTAAAAACAAGAGCCTGACTGAAGACAAGAACTTGGAATCCTCTCACTTGGTCTGGAGTAAAACTAATCAGCTAGACAAGCGCTTCTGCAATACTGGTTGAGACATCCCTGGGGGTGCTGGTGTGTTTTTC